GGACCGCAGAGGGGCAGATGACTGGCAGGCGGCGGGGGTCGGGGGAGGGGTTCCGCGCACCGCAGGGAGAAGCAAGGCAGGTGGGGTCGGGGTCAGGGGTCAGGGGTCTTACCGCCCTCGCCCGCTTCGAGCATGCCCTGCAAGTAGCGGAAGGAGCCCGACTGCTTGGGCTCCGCGGCCGCGGGCTCGGCGGGCTCGCGCAGCATCCGGTACACCTCGGAGCCCAGGTCCACTCTGCAGTCCCGGCTCCGCGGGGGGCCTCTGGCGGGGTCGGCGCTGGGGGCAGAGAGGTGAAGGAGGGGCAGGGTTGCAGTTCCGGCCTGCACCGGCCTGGGCTGGGGAGGTTTTATGAGTCCGAATGCAACAGCTGAGACCCAGGGATCAAGTGTCAGGGGTCAGGATGGAACTCGGTGATATTTAAGGGATCAGATTCAGATGGGATCTGGGTGTGGCTCCGAAGGCCGGGACTCTGTACTACCTGGGGGGTGGAGACACGTGCAGAGCGCTCATCTGGGCTGGCAGGGTGGCCTCGTTGCTGTTGCCATTATGGGGGACAGGAAAGCGAGGGGGCTGCCCATGCGGAGATGCCAGGCTTGCTCTGCCGTCTTCGGGCCCAAACCCAGCGCCGGAGGGCCGCCTGCTGGTCGCGGGACTGGCGTCCTGTGAGAGAGAGGCCTGAGGCACTGGGAGACCCTCTGGCCATTTCTTGTTCACCCACCTCCACCAGGTGGTGGACGTCCCTGGCGACCTCTGCTCTGGCATCTCAGGGCTGTGGTGCCCAGGCGGGGAAGGGGTGTATGGGGAAGGGCCGAGCCTTAGGCCTGGGTCAGCCCCTGAGGAAGTAGAAACGCCCTTGGAAAGCTGGACACAGAAACCTGAGCACCTGAGACGCAACGCAGGCCCATGAGCCCGTGAGGGACGGGGTTGGGGCAGGCCCAGCCCGAGAAGCCTTTTAAGGCCAATGTGGCTGCAGCAGGGCGTGTGGCTTCCCTGCAGAGGTGGTCCTGGTGCTGACCCTTCCCACCTGCCACAGCTGGGCTGGGTACCAGGTCCGTGGTCCATGGCTGGGAACACAAAAAGGCAAGTAAGTCCCATCCTGCAGGCAGGAAGGGTCCTTCACTGTTGTGTGTCCAAGGCCCTTTGGGCAGGCTGAGGCTCAGGGGTATCGCTGTGGGGTCAGCCTCTTTGGGGCCTGCACTGTACCCCCCCATTTCCTGCTTCCCAGGCCACAGCGGGTAGCCCTCTGTAGACACTGCAGATGAGGGGCAGAGCCGGGCCAGGGCTCACGGTTCCCTGTCCCACTACCCCACGGCCAGCCTGGTGCCCATGGCTGAAACATTCTGGGGAGGAGGGCCCTGAACATGCCCCTCAGCTCTTAAGGAGAGGGCAGCGTCTCTGTGGGTGTGGGTTTGAGTGGGAACTGGGGATCTTTGTCCCTGCTAGGTCCAGAGCTGTGCTGCCCCAACCTGTAAGCACACACAAGCACGCCCACCAGCAATGTGAACAGGGGCATGCACACCCTCACAAGTACGTTTACAGATACACACATGCATGAGGACAACATACATGCACCAGCCAGTCCACCTACATATGACTAATCATACATACATGGTTACATATATTTGGAGCCAGCACTGGACACCGTGGGAATGGCCATGGTGGCTGAGACCGGGCTGGCATCCAGAGCCACTCGATTTTAGGGTGAGTCCCGAGTCCAGGCCATGGCATGGGTCTCAGCCTCAGCCTGGGAGGTGGCATTAGACCTCTGCTCTATCGTGTGCCGGGGGGCTGGGTAGGGGGGAGCCTGGCCCGGCAGAAAAGAACGTGGTCTGCACTCAGCCTCCAGCACGAGGCACAGCCGACCCTGCAGGGCTCTGCCCTACTGTCCCCTGCTTTCTTCAGGACAGGAGCTTGGGGAACGGGCAGGCCAGCAGTTGGGTGGGGGCTCCCCCTTTCCTCCACCCCAGCAGATAAAGGGGAGGGTCTTGCAGCCTAGGTGGGCCCCCTTCAATAGAGCAGCAGCAGCAGCAACCGCAGGAAGACCCCATCCTCATCAGGCCAACAAAAGCCCCTGAGAAACCTGAGTACTCTCACACATGTGTCTGCCTCTAATGGGGACCAGATGGGCCGTGGTGGGCGGGGGTGGGGCCAGGCCTCAGGGGGAAGCTTCAGTGGGAAGGGGGACTGGGAGGAGGGAGGCCCTCACTGCCCCCAACCCAGCAGGGTGTGGGAGTCTACTGCAGGGTCATCAGCGCCATGGCCCCTCCCACGGCCACCCATGCAGCAGCCTCTCTAGGTCTGAACCCAGTGATGAGGACACAAGTGGTGACCTCAGTTTTGGTGAGAGTCCCATCTCCATCACTCCCTAACTGGGCAAGTCACTTCACCGCTCTGACCCTCAGTTTCTTCATCTGTGAACTGGGCAATGTGATGCTCTCTGTATTAAGTTCCCTGTGGGGATGAAATGAGACAATTGCATGCAGAGCACTTAGCACAGGGCCTGGCACACAGCAATGAGCCATGGGATGAATGGCTGCCAAGGGAATTCCTGAGCCCTCGTTCCTGGCTTTCCCCTGTCGGTGTGGTGCACCTCAGACCACGTGCTCCCCGCCTCTAAGTGCCAGCCTGCTGCTCACGTGCGTGTTGAAGCCTCAGTGGGTTTTCCAGCAGAAAGGGAATAAGTGCCTGCTTGCTCATCAGCCCCCGTGCAACTAGGATCAGAATCTGGGACATTTAACTTGGACAGAGGCAGATACCAAGTCCAGATGAGCAGGTGGCATCTCCCAGAGGCTCAATTCCAGCTCTCTGCTGGCGTGGAGAGGACAGGCTGAGTGCACGGGGGCGGCCTGCGCCACCTGGCTTGCGGCTACCCATCACCTGGTTCTGCGCTTCAGTGCCGCTCCCTCCCGGAAACCTTTCCTTATCACCCCTCTTCCTCCACTCCGGCCTGGGCCACGTGCCTCCTGTGTTCCCATGTGAGGCCTGGGAGAAGGAGGGTCTCCTCAGCCCCCCAGGGAAGGTGGGCCTGTCCCCTCCCACTTGGGGACATGTGCCAGGGGCACCCTGTGCTGGTCCTGGGGCCAGCTGTGGTTTCCTCCTCCTCTGATGGCACCAGCTAGCTCCCCATCCCCTTGCCAAACGCCCCTGGCAGGCAGAGGGTGGGAGCAGCGCGGGGACAATGGGCCCTGTGTCTGTGTTGGGGAGGACTTGGCCCTGCAGGGGCGGGTGGGGGTGTTTTTGTCGCCACCCATGGAGCCCATGACCTTTTAAGTACAAAAGCGGGGCAGCAGCTGAGGGGCTGCCCTGTTGCCGTGGAAAGTCCCTCCCCCTCCAGCCTGAGCCACCGGCAGCCTGGCCTTCGATGGGGTCTGTGAGGATAAGCACGGGGGCGGGCGGAGCTGCTCTGTGGCCCCCAGCCCTGCAGGCCCACTGGCCCTGAGCCTCTCCTAGAGGAATGAGCACAGCTGAGCTTCAAAAATTCCAAAGCTCAGGCCCCCATCCTGTCCTCGCCGGCACTGCCGCCTCTACGGGAAGCTGGTTCTTGCGCGGGAGCTGGGGACCTGCTCTAGCTGCTCCCTCTGCCTGCCCACGTCAAGCCGGGCTGGTTTGTCTGTGCCAACATCTGTCCCCTTTACCCCTGGCCCTAGGGCCTTGGGCGCACAGGGCCACCAAAACTGGCTTCTGAGACACAGATGTAGCTTCTCCATGGTCTGCCCCACCCCCTCGTCCCTCGCCCCCGCCCTCTCACTCCTCTGACCTTGCCCCACCTCCCCCTGGACCTTTCTGTTCTCTGAGCCTGTGGTGCACAACCTCACCTCTGGGCCTTTGAACGTGCTTCGTGAGCACACTTCCTCTCCCCACGCCCCTTGGCCTGTCTGATTCTGCCTAGGCCTTCAGGTCTTGGCTTGGATGACCCCTCCTCCAGGAAGCCCTCTCTGACCCCTTGTCTGAGTCATGTGCTTACTCTGGGCTCCTCTGGCCCCTGGTGGGCCCTATCCCATAACTTAAAAGTGCCTTTTTGCTGCTGGGATGGGCTCTCCCTGGCAGGTGGACAGCATCTGGCCTCAGGGATGCTGGCCAAGTAAGGTAGGAAGCAAATGTCAGAGCAAAATGGGAGTGGAGTAGGTGGTAAGGGAGAAACCAGAGTAGATTCTTCTCTCTGGCTCAGCCAAGCCCCCTCTCCCTGCTCTGGTCCCTTTTCTTCCATGTGGAGAGAGTGGACAAAAGCAGGCCCAGGAGGCCGTGGTCCCGCATGCTGGGTCCCGTGGTTCTGGCTCCATCCCAGAGCAGCCCGGTCTCCATCTTGCCCAAACTCTGTGGCCCACGGATGTCAAGCAGGCTCTGGATGCCTCAGTCTTGCCCGCTGGGCTGCCCCTCACGCCCACGGCACAGCCAGGCCCCAGAGCCGGAGCAGCCCGGCCCCCTCACGCTCACTGAGGACAGGACCGTGGCCAGGACTCCTGTCTGGCACAGAAAGTGACGGAGCAGACAGGCCTGCAGCCTGAGGTCTGCTCTGCGCAACCACAGCACGGCCAGGAGAGAACGTCAGGCTTGGATGGGGCACCCAAGGCTGGGACAAGGCAGAGGAGTGTCCCACAGCCCGAAGTCACTCCACAGCCTGAAGCTGCCACCAACCTTTCCCACCCCGAGCTTGGTGACGTCCTCCTGGTCTGGCATCACTGGGCCACAGAGTAAACTCCAGCTGGGTGGGTGGTGGCCCCAAGCCAAGGCCTCGCCGGCCCTGCCCATCACAGGCACCTCTGTCTAGAAGCCAGGACTGCCTCGGGTAGAGACAGAGCCCACAGCAGGTGCTTGTCACCTGAGAAACACGGGACGGGTGTAGGCATGGCCCAGAGAAGACTTCTGCCTCAGGCTCTGTCCTGGGGGGCCGCAGCGAGGACGTGCAGTGCAGATGGCCCTGGGGACCAGCCTGGCCTGTCTGTCCTGGGCTCACTCTGAGCCAGGCCGGGTCAAGCGGAGTCTGTACGTACCTGGGCCTCGGGGTCGATGTGGATCCTGAGTGCCTGAGCCTTGCCGTCATCCGGGCTGCTGGGCCAGCTCCTGCCCTCAGGCCTGTGCAGGAATTGGGGTGGTCAGTTGTGTCTGCCCACTGTGCCCCCCATGCCTAGGACCCAGGGGGGCAGGCTCTGGGCCTAGAGCCACCAGGCCTGCAGGTAGGACACCACTGCAGTGCTTCCCCTGCACCACCGTGGTGGCTGTTGTTACCAGGAGCCACGACTCGAGATCTTCCACCCTCCTGGGGCAAGGCTGTGCGATCCCTTCCCCACCAGCTGCCCCGTCCCTCTCTGGTCCGGCTCTGGAGAGGCCGCAGCGGAAGCGCTGCAGGTCTCGCTCTCCCTCCCTCTCCGGGGCCTACGGAAGCTCAGTATAAAGAAGCCCAGCTCACGGCAGGGCGAGCCGGGCCTCACAGGCTGACGAGCCAGAAGCCCATGCGCTCGTCCCTCGGCATCCACGGCCCCTGGTGGGGGCCTGGGGTCAAGCGTCCATGGGCTCCGGGGGAGGCGGAATGGAGGCTCTGGGGGCCTCCCCTCCTGCTGCTGCGGCCGCAGAGTCATCACTGATGTCTGCCCAGCCCAGATGGGAAACAGGCCATTAGGAAATTCCTGCTTCGCCATAGAAACCAAAAGCCAAACACACTCAGGAGGGAGAAAAACATCGTAAACCTGCCATGAGCAGGGCAGGCGGGTGAGAGGCTGCGGCCTGGGGCCCAGCCCTGCCGCTCAGTGGCCCCGTGGGAAGGCAGGCGCGAGGGTGCGAGGACCCCGACTGGCGGTGGGTATGAAGTGAGGCTGCTGAGAACAAAGGGAATAATGTCCCCAACCGCCCCAAGAGGCCCCTGGGGCTCCCTGAGGTCTCCTCACTGGCTGAGCAGCTCATCCCCTTCTCAGCTGAGGGTTTTAATCTGTCTACACCTATGGTCCATACCCTCTCTGCCCTTCCTCACCCCTGCCCATTCCTTGGCCCGGGGCAGGCCACCTCTCCACTCCGCAGCCCTCGGGACCTCAGCGCCAGGGCTCGGCTGTCCCAGGACAGCACCCGGTCTCTGTCTCCCCCCTCAGCCAGGCTCCCCAGTGACTGCCCTAACGCGCGGCTCTAACCGTGGCCTCCACCTGCTCAGGACTCTCTGGGATAAACCTGGGACATCTCGGTGTCTGTCTGGCCTTATATTTCCCTGAAGTTATGCCCAGAGAAGAAACAAGCCTGAGGTCCCAGGGTCAGAGGGAACCAAGAGCCCAGAGCCACGAGGGCTGCGCAAGGCATCGGCTGGACTGGAGGGCTTAGCCCTGTGCTGACCCCCTTCCCAGGCCTCCACTTCAAGCGGGGCAGGTGGCTCCCTCTGCCTGTCTTTAAACAAAGTGACAGCCAAAGGGTGGGCTGGGCAGAGGCACCTTGGACCACACACGATGGGCAACAGGAACTCTACCAGTGGCCCCAGGGCTGCAGTTGATGACAGGAAGGCCCTGGACCCATAGAACATGCCCGGGAAGTGTTGAGCGTGGATTGTGGGAGGCCTGGCCTTGGGCTCCTGGCAAAATAAGCCTAGCGGGAAGCTGGGCCTTTGCCACACTTTTCATTCTGTGGGAATCTGTGGGGACGACAGCCTCTGTACCCAAGAGGGCAGGTAGGGAGCTGGTCTGGGGAGGGTCCTGGGAGAGGCACCAGAGAGTAGCTCACTCCAGCCAGCCAACCCGCTGGTCCCCTGCAGGGCCCGTGTTGTGTGTGCCCAGGCCGTGTCTTTGGGCCCAGGCATAGGTCCCGGCGTGGCAGGCAAGATAGGAGAAAAGTCAGAGACCTCGCGGGTAGGAGGGCGTCCAGGAGAAGAAACATTGGCCCAGAGGGTCAAGGTGGCCCCCACATCTTAGTCCCCCAGAGCCTGCGTGTGTGAGGGTTAGAGACGGGGACGGAGGGCAGGACTGAGCTCATCGCTCAGACTGAGCAGGCCTGGTTCGTCATCATCGCTCAATGCCCAGCTCACAAAATTGTCCCTTCCCCTTCCCCGAGTGACCAGCCTGACAACCATTTCAAAGCGATTTCCTGTCCAACACCTCGTTTAACCCTCAAACCAACTTCAAAAATGTAAAACCTAATATCGTCCCCACTTTACAGATGAGACAGCTGAGGCTCAGAGGGGAACTCGCTTGCTGGAGCATGGCGCGGTTTCCAAATGCAGAGCTGGGACTGGAGCCAGCCCCGTGACGGCGGAGGACGTGCTCTCACCTGCTCCGTGGCCAGGTGGCAATTTGGGGCTGAAATGCCCAGAGTGGAACAGGTCAGTGGACCTCTAGCTCCCTCCGTGCCTGGCTTGGAACAATGGACCAGGGAAGGAAGGAAGGGGGACCTCCACCCGCCACCTCCCCTGACATCATTCTCTCTGGGAATCTCCTGACTCAGGCCCCCCTAAGCCCCCACCCCCACCACCGCCAGGGCCGCCCTTGCCCAGCCACACAGACTGAAGCTGGAGGTGAGTCAGGCCCAGGAACCCCGCCAAGCGGGAAGGCCTCAGAGGCCACTCGTGGGCAGAGCAGCGCTGACATGTTCCCCATGCAGCCTGCACCTCAGTCTGGGAGAGGGTGACGACTGTGATCCTGTTCCATGGGAAAGGAAACCCAGGTTGACAGAGGGCAGCGCGGACCTCAGATCCCAGGGTCCGGGTGAGGACCAGCTCTGCCGAGTTCCAGGGCCGGGGCACCCTCGCCGCGTGCCAGGCGGGGCACACAAGGCCTGGACTTGCAGCCGGGCCCGCTCAGTGCTGAGGGCACAGCCAGGGCCCTGACCTGACCCAGAGCTGGACGTGGGCCAGGCACAAACGGGGCGACCTCGGCCTTTCCGCCATGGTTCGTGGCTCCGAGCCAGTGGCCTCCGCCCGGCCGGCCGGCTCCCAGGCGTGGTTAGTTGCGTGGTGGTGAGAGGCGGCTTCGCCCACACACTTCCATGGGCTCGCGGAAAGCCCCTGTGACGGCGGGGGCAGCAGGGCTGAGCTGTTTTGCCCGGCTGCTGTGGAGCGGGTGAGGCGGGGGTCAGGGAGGTCCCACTCAGCCAGGATTAGGCCAGCTGCTTGCCGGAGCCGAGTAAAGACCCGGACCTGAGCAGGGCTGCACAGGCTCCTGCCGTCCGTGGCAGAAAGCCCCTCCCAAATCCAGATTTAACCAGGACGGAGGTGCGGGCCCTGGTGGGGACAGCTGAAGCAGGGCCGCTGTGGGGTTGGCAGGGTGGCCCGCGGCCACGTAGGGGGACCGGGGTCCACTTTTGCCTCCTACTCCCCAGCCGTGTGACTGTGAGCACCTCCAGCTTCCTGAGCCTCAGCGGTCTCATCCGTACAGCGGGGACTGTGTTAGATTTTTCCCTTTTTTAAATTGCTTTGAGGGTTAAACGAGGTGTTGGACAAGAAACTGCTTTGAAATGGTCGTTAAGCTGGTCACTCGGGGAAGGGAAAGGACGGGGCTACGCAGGCGTATTCCAGGTCCCCGCGACACTCGCCGTGAGTGCCCAGCGCGCTTCCAGCCTCCAGTTCGAAGGGGGCTTCTTCCCTTCTTAAGCTGCCCCAGCTCTGAGCAGGACCTGCCAGATCCCCACGAAAGCCCCGCTCCTCGGGACCTGCCTGGCTGGGGTGCCCGGGAGCTGAGCAGAGGGCTGCTGAGGTCCAGCCCCCGCAGGGAGCGGCTGCCCACAACTGTCCCCTCCTCCCCGCCTCCTCCCAGCCCCGCCTGCGCCAGGCGCACCTGCTCACGGAGAGCGTGAGGTGGTCGTGGCAGCCCTTGATTCGGTTCTGCGCCTCCAGGTGTGTCATGAGCTCTGTGCTCTCACCGTTGATGGCCTGGATGAGGTCTCCTGGGCACAGGGCGGCCAGCGCAGCCTTGCTGCCAGCGTGGACCTGTGGTGGACAAGCCGGAGGGTCGGCACAGTCGTTATGTGGCCTTGCTCCGCTTCAGACTCCTCCGGCCTCAGAACCTGGCCGGCGCAGCCTTGCTGCCAGCGGGACCTGTGGACGGGCAAGCCCAGAGCCTGGGGGAGGTCCCCGCGTGGTCCTGCTGCAGCCTCTGCTCTACACCCCCCCAGCACCTGCAGGGGGTAGAGTGTGAGGATGCACGAGCAGGGCTTCCTCTGGGCTGGGACGAGTGGATGTCACTCTTGCAGCCTGAATGTGTGCCCAAGGACACGCAAGGGACACACAGACACACAGGGACGTGTGTATTCACAGATACACACAGCACACGGACATGTCACAAACACCTTACACGGACAACGCGCCACCCAGCCAGACCGCATGGCGGCCCCCGGACCTAACATTCAAGCCTCAGTCCCTGCCTTCCTGCCGACTCGCTCTCGCCTCCCGCCCCCACCCCACGCTCGCCTCCACTGCCCCACTCTGCAGATCGTCTGAATGTCCGGGGGGCACTCACAGGCACCTGATATCTCACCCCCACCCTTCCGCAAAGGCTGTTCCCTCTCCCTGGGACACTCTTTCCTCTGACTCCCACATCTTCGTCCTTCAGGTGCCGGCAGTGAGGCCACTTCCTCGAGGAGCCTCTCCCTGGGCTCTCGCAGTACGCCGTGTGCCCCTCACCTTCATCGTGGACGTCAAAACCTCATCACAGGTAAAGTGGGGAGGTCGGAGCCTCACCTCTGCAGGCGAGTCCAGGGCTGCCCCGTTCCAGCCGCCAGGCTGCACTGGCACCCCGGGTCACAATGCCACCCTCGCTTCGCTGGCAGGACGGGCGCTCAGCCACCGCAGCTGACCCCACACTACCGACCCCACAGGGTCCACCATTGTCCACGTCTGGAAACTCTTACCGTGCTGGTCATCTGACGCAGGTCACGTGGGGTGGGCAGAGTTAGACTCGCAGAGAAACCTGAGTGAGCAGCCGAGGGGAGTTCAGGACACAGGGTACCCTTGGGCCTGTCCCAGCCCCAGCACGGCCTCCAGAATTGGACTTGAGGCACCCCATTCTTACCAGCCTCGCCAGCCAGCACCCAGCTATGACTCAAGAACCACCAGGGACCTTGTCCCTGTGGGCGGTGGTGGGAGCTCCTGGAAGCCCCCCCCGGCTCGGCTTAGCCGGTCCCCAGCAGTGAGTGGACAGAGCTGAGGGGCTGGCAGCTCCCTGGCTGGAGGCCTGGTGCGGGCACTGCCCAAGCTGACCGGCCCTGAAACAGGTTGCCTCAAGGAATGCTCCTCTTCTGAAGCGTGACACCCTCAGCCAACCAGCCCACGTCCATGTTCACTTGCAGGGCCTGGGCACCTGCACAGCCTGTCCTGTGCACTTGGCACCATCCCTCCTCCCCGCAGGGCCCTGGTGGGCCCCTCCGCTTCGTGGACACCTGCCCTGGGCCAGGCCTGGGCTCAGCGCCTGACCCGTAACTAGCTCACAGCAACCGCTCAACCGCTGGGTGACGCAGAGGCTGTTCTCATCCCTGTTTCACAGATAAAGAAAGACAGGCTTGGGGGAAGGACACCTTGCCCTCGTCCCCACACTGGAGAGGAGTCGTCTTCGGGGGGTGGCAGCTACAGGATGACTCAGCCAGCACAAGGGGTGCATTCAGACTTCTGTGGGCGGAGGAAGTTTCCTGAAAGCAGGGGTGGCTGGGATGCTGCCAGCTCCCTTTAGCCAGGGGAGTTCTGGTCAGAGAGGGCGCGAGGCCAGGAAACTGTGACTCTCCCAGCCACCTTTACATGCATTGTCTCGTTATCCTCAAGGCAAACCCATTTCCTAGATGAGGACACTGAGGTCCAGAGAAGTACAGTGTCACTTGTGGACACTTAATTGATAAATGGCTGAGTCAAGATTTCAATCCAAGCCAACTGATTCCAAATTCAAACCTATGTTCTTAATCACTGTGCTTTTCTTCAAAAAGGAGTAAGGGGAGAGAGAGTGTCCTGGGGAGAGAGAGTGTTCCAGGTGGAAGGACCAGCATGTCTAATGGCTCATCTGAGACAGAGGAGAAGGAGGCCTGTGTGGCCCGAGCATGGTTAGTGGGGGCAGCGTGGAAGAGATGAAGAGAGAAGAGGCCGGGACCAGATCTTGCAGGGCCTTGTACGCCCAGGTGGGACGCTGGCATTTCTCCCGGGGCGTTGGGAACCATGGGGCGTTTTAAGCAGGGAAGTCACAGGACAGAGTTGAATTTAGGCCGATCCTTCTAGCTGCGTAAGTGCAGGGTAAACAGAAAGAAGAAAGGGAGACAGGAATAGTGAGGTCAGGCGGGAGGTGGGGCAGGAACCTGCCCCTCACCTGCGGCAGCTGCATTCCCGGCCCCTGTTCCACCCAGCCCAGACGCTGCGGGGGGCTGGGAGCTGCAGTCAGACTGAGGTTCCACGTCGGCCCATACAGCCGCAGGCCTGGACTCCCGTCTCCACTCTGCTTCTCTGGGAATATCACCTCAACCTCTCTGTGCCTCTGTGTCCCCACCCTGGGGGCCAGAGGGAGTCCTTACTTCCAAGGGCTACTGTGAGGACCCCCTGGGACAATCAGGGCATGTGACGCCCCCGTGGGAGGCCGGGCAGATGGCGGTGCTCATTCCAGGGACAGGTTGCTGGGCAGGGGCTGGTACCGACACCCAGCAGGGTGGGGCCTGGCCTGCCAGGATCTCGGCCAAAGCCACAGTCGTTAGTCTGTGGGGAAGGAGCCCTGGACCACGTTCCTGGGGGATCCCAGGGCTTCGTGGGCCGAGACCGTAAGCCCCCAGCCCTGCCCGGCACCAGCCTCCTCCCTCGCCCGCCCTACGGGGTCCTGAGTAGGGGCGGCCCTGGAAGCAGGGAGGGGCTGGATTCTGAGCCCCCTTGGTGAAGACACCCCCACATGCTATGGGTCCCTGCAGATCGCCCCTGAGGTACCTGCCAGGCAAGCCGAGGCCTGCGCCTCACCAGCTGCGTAAACCTCCGCAGATCCCACCCAAACCCGGGCTCAGCCATCCCGGCTCCTTGGGCCTGAGCTGCTGCCGCGTGCCTTTGGGGGGCGAGCGGGGCTCCTCCTGCAAGGCCTGTCCCAGACCGCCTGCCGGCCAGGGCCTGCATCCCCAATCAGCTCCAAACAAGGCCGCCGCCGCCGCGCCGCGGCTGTGACGTGTGGAGGCCTTTCCTCAGCGGCCAGGCGGCCGCGTGGGCAACAGATGTCTCAGCTCCGCGCCGCCTGCGGCCGGCAGCCGCCCGCCACTGAGCCTGTCAGCGGCCTCACGCCCAGGGTGCCTGGCTGGCTGGCCCAGAACCCCCACCAGCGCCCTGGGCGGACACACACAGGCAGACACCCAGCAGGGATCCCTCCGGAAAGTGGGGGATGAAAGGCTCCAGAGGCGCTGCAGGCCCACCTCCCTGGCCAGGACCTGGCCGCCAGGGCAGATGGGGGAAGCCTCCTAGGACAGCTGGGCCTGCCCATCACCCTGGCCCCCAGAAACGGGACTCCACGGTTCCGTGCTCCACCCGGCGCCCACTGCTCCCTGGAACTGGAAGGCAGTCCAAAAGCCCAGGCAGGCTGGCCCAGCCCCACGGGGAGAGGTGGCAGTAGTGTGGGGGACGGTGGTTCTCAGAACCTCTGCGCAGCTCCCAAAGGCCAGAGCGGCCTGTGTGGGGCCAGGGGATGGCCCTCGGCGGGTCCCAGGTCACCTCCTCTGCTCCCTCCAGACTGGGAGTCACCAAGGGCAGGGCCTGAGTTCTTTCTCTTCTGTCCCCTAGGCTGGGCTCCCCAGGACAGTGTCTGAGTCCCCTCTTCTGCCCCTCCAGACAAGGGGACCCCAGAGCTGGGCCACGATCCTGTCTCCCCTTCCCACAGGGCCCAAGTCCCCTCCTCTGCTCCTCTGTCCTCAGACCAGTCACCCCAGGGTTGTCCCCCTCTTGTCGGAAGGCAGGGGCAGGGCACGGCCCTGGGAAACGCGAGGGGCTGGGCTGAGCTGTCCCAGACCCCGGCTTTGCTGTCTCGTGGGGAAGGGTCTCACGACCTGGCAGTCACGTCTCCCTTCCCCTGGAGGCCAGAATCCCTCCTGGTCACTTCCCCTCGGGTGACGAGGTCGTGAATGAGACACTGACCAAGGCCAGAGTGGGGCAGGGGACGGACCCTTCTCTTCTCATTCTGAGAGGCGACCCTGGACCCCCGGGGTCACCCAGGTCTGCCCTGGATCCAGGGACCCTGGATGGGGGAGGGGCTCCCAGTCACTTCGCCCCAGATCTTCGGGCGGGGCTGCGTCCGAGGAGAGTTTCCGAACCTCTGAGGCTCGGTCCGGACCCCTGGCCCCGGCGACTCCCCCTCACGAGGCGGGCGCGGAGGCCGGGTGCGAACGCCGGGACTTTCCCCGGGACGGGCCGGCCCAGCGGGAGCGGAGGGGCCGGGCGCCGTCTGGAAGCCGCGTCCGCAGAACGCGGGCCACTCAGGCCGCCCTGCGCGCCAAGCCTCGGACACGTCGGGGATCTGGGTCTCGCGGATCGCGAGGACCTGGGCTCAGGCCAGGTCGCCCGGCCACCCGCCGCCGGCGCACTCACCCGCGAGATGGCGAGGGGCGCGCTGAAGTCCCGGCCGCCCACCAGGCGGAAGCCCCAGGGCGAAGGCCCGCGCAGGGTCACGGAGTGCGGCATCGCGGGGCAGCCGCAGCGGAGCCCGAGCCGGACACTGAGCAGCAGCCGCCGCCGCC